TATATATATATATATATATCGTGTACTAGCAAGTGAGTATCTTAGGTGTAAAACTACTCAAAAAATTTGAGTTATATCATATTTAACATCCGCCAAACACATTAGGCTGTCAAGTCATATAAGTTATCTTTTCTGATTCTTTTCAACTAATAGCACCTCTGTGCATGACAACCATTAACCATTTCAAACTCTGCGCATAACTATGCGGAAACGAAACCATGGGTGATGCGCACACTCGTGCGGATACAATTATATAGGTACACCGACCTCTGCGCACACTCATGCGGATACCAAAACATAGGTTCACTAACCTCTACGCACACTCTAGTGCGGATACTATAATATAGGTTCACAAACCTCTGCGCATACTCTAGTGCAGATACCATAATATAGGTTCACAAACCTCTGCGCACACTCTAGTGTAGATACCATATCACAGAAAAATGTAATCAGATTAACACTAAATAAAATCCCTCCCTAAGGTATTCCCACATGTAGTATAACACTATTCATCAATAATTATGTCTATAACATGCAACTCAAGCACGTGCTCGCAATTCAAAACAAAACAATACATAATACAGAAAATCAGCCTTAGTAGTCAACTACTAAGTTTAGTAGTCGACTACACTGAGTCCACTAGACTTTGTAATACTCAACTCAGAAATTAGTAGACGACTAATAAGAACATTAGTCGACTACTCTGTATTGACTCAGTCTCTGTTAAGTCAATTCGGACTTGAGTAGGTGACTACTTCGCTTAGTAGTCGACTACTAAGTCAAAACCTACACAGAATCATGCATAAACAGCATATTTGCAAACATCACGCGATTTTTATACTTTAACACATTATAAAACTGGTAAATACGAAACAAAAAAAATCATCACCATGATTATTTAACCCTTGATTTAACCTACTTAGTTTAATCCCCTTATTTAAACAAATATTTGACATAAACCCTAATTATCGATTAGGTCAACATGAAACATGCTTGCATATTAGACTAGAATTTATATACTTTTTCTTAATCATGATTTCATAACCAAACATCCCAGATCCATGGTCTAATTTTATAATATCGACATGTAATCCCCTTTATATCACAAATTTAGGGTTTTAAGTATGATTAACACATAGATAAATAGATATGAACAATGATTTACATAACCTAGTGACCATAAATCACATTTTTGTTAATACCAGCAAGTAAAACTTGTAGATCTAACATCAGATTAAGATTTCACATCACAAATCTACCTTTTATCATGTAAAGCAGTAAATCTATATATTAAAATAACCATATTACTCATATACACATAATTAACACTATGGATAAGGTTTGAATGCAGGAGATCTTGCCTCTATCAATGTGTTGATCTCCTGAACGTGTGTACAACCCCTCTCTTCAACTACAGCCCTCAATCTCGCCCTCGCTCGAAGTCGCTTCTCAAAACACCTCGAGGAACTCACAATTTCGGATCTAGGGTTTAAGTGAAAAGAGGCGGCTGCAAATTGATGAGAGAATCTCAAGAATTATGTTTAAAACATGTTTATATAGTTAGGTTATTAACCGGGTTCGAGAACAATGCAAATCCAACCCAAAAAGTGAAACCTGCCACGTCCAGGGATCCGTGATAGTCGACTACTCTCATTAGTAGTCGACTACACTGTAACTCACAGAATCTGTATATTGTTTACGTGCTCT